AACAAACTATCAAAGGACGTTGTAAACGGCGGTGAAGCGACGTTTAGAGACTTGAAAATTACTTACTACTACCGCTGGCTATCGAAAATTATTATAGATTACTAGTGCAAAAATATAAAAGTTTTTTATTTTATTTTTTAGATTGATAAAGAAATTCAGACAACAGCCGTCATTCGTACTACCGTTTCCCAAAGTGGTTGCATCTTTTGACAGCTCTATGCCCATCCTATTCTCCTCACTCGTTTCCTTCCATGTGCCTGAGCGCGTAGCTTAATTAGACGGCGTTGGTACGGTGTACAATGGGGTTTGCAGCACACGCGAGGGGGAGGAGAGTGAGAACATGGTGTCGTACTAGGGAGAAGTAGGGCTGGAGCGTGCTTAAATGCCTTTGACAGTGATAAGGGAACAACACATTTTGGTATGGTTGTTGGGTGGGGGGGGTTTCGACTTTCGAACGTAGGTTATGCTTGCTTTTTCTTGATCTTACTATTACCAATCCCGACTTTTTGCTATTTCCTTGGTTATGCTTGCTTCTTCTTGTTATTCCTCTCTTTGCAATTCAAGACCAGAACTTGTTGTCCAAGAGAATTGAAAATCCAGACCAGAATTAGTCAAACATTATCACAATTTGTTGGTGCCTCTGACGATTATTTTCTCATATACCTTGTAATGATAATTAAATTAACAAAAATCTTATTTCATTTAATTTTTTATATTAAATTATAATAAATTATTATTTGATGTGATATATAAATTTTAAAATTTTTAATATAATATTTAAATTATATTATTAATTAATATAATATTAATTTTCAATGATAATAAATAATGTATAAATAATTTTAATTAATAAAATTTATAATTAAAATAATATTTTAAAATCTAATATAATATTAATATTACTATAATTAATTAAGATGCCGGTAATATGACCAAATTATAATTTTGTGATTTGGTTTGTTGTTCTTGTATACTAATAGCTTAACAACATTCATTATCCTTATGCTTTTTAAAAAATAATAATAATAATTTTAAAAGTTGAATGGTCATTGAATACGCAGAAAATATATTACTACTGTTTTAAAAAATTTAATCTTTATATCCCTTAATTAATAGCCGGGCAGACCATAAACATTACATAGATAGTAAAAACATATATCAAATTGATATTTTTGTTGTACGAAAATAAAATTCTGAAACTAATAAATCCCTTTTAATTTAAACTTTAAGGGAGAATTATTTGTTGCGAAAACTGTATATTATGATCCCAGGCAGCCGAAAGATCTAGAAAGCAAACTTTCCTAGGTCAAACAGTCAAAGAGTTTTACTCACCCCGCCCTTTTTCCTACCCTTTAAAATCATGCATATAATATTGAAATTTCAATAATTGTTAACCTAAAATTCAATCATCCTCAATTATGGCATTCATTGTAATAATAATAATAATAATATGAGATATGGTCCAAAGTCTAACCATTGTCAACGTTTTATTTTATTTAGCTTTTATATAATAATAATTACCCTCTCCAACCATGCAACTCAAAAACATTTACCAAACAACAAATTATTACTAATAAAATATGTTTATTATTCATTGTTAATTTGCTTTAATTTACAAGGATAATATAATATAATTGAAAAGGATTAACGAGGACACAAAGCGGCAGGGATCCGTTTCACTTTGCTGCTGCAGCTAACACTGCCAAACAGGGTTTTGGCAATAAACAACTTGGTTCGTTTAAAGCTGTTGCCCCTATGCTTCTTCCCCTTTCTATTATTTTCTTGCTTTTTGGAATCAAATATTATTTTTTTCCAAAATAATTAATTAATTGTTGTATATAAATTGGGATTACGGTATTTTAATCGGGTCCCACCTTGTAATCCATGGTTCAAAATCCAAGATATATCCCCAACCGTCCGATCCTGTTTTGTTTGTTTCCAAAGCTCACACTGCATTCCGAGAACGTCCCCTGCGTTGGACAAGAGTAAGAATAAAATTAAAGATAGGCCTTTACCATCTTTGAAATTACGGGGAAACCCTCAAACGCAATTCAGTAAACTATTTGGCTTGAATCATGTAAATATCGGACGTAGTAATATTAATGGCCGCTTAAAAGTTAAAAGAATCGAATTAAGCGGCGTTTATTTTCACCGTTAAACAATTATTTAATTATTATTTTTAGAGAAATAATTTATTAATTGGGTTTTTTAAATATCATCACAATTAATGTTAATTTAGACCGTGATGAACATTTTGCAAAATGAGAATGCAGAAGCCGTTTTAGTACACTTTTCCTCAGTGAGTAGAGAGGTTGAGGCAGCCGAGGAGCTGAGGCTACAATCACATCATTAAGAAACAGGAGACACGTGGCGAATTATAAACCACCTAGTTATGAGGTCTAGAAAGTGACAGCTAAGGTGAGCCTGCGCAGCTGCAACAGTAGTAGGGGTAGGGGGCTGACTACTAAGCCAGACTGTGATCTGAGGCCAAATAAATGAAAAGTTACAAACAACCGGCGTTATATCCGCCGGTAAAACGCCGTCAGCTGCACTGACTGCGTGATGTGGGCTCAACCAGCCTGTCCTTCCAAAAAAAACATTACATTTAATAATGGGTCTTCAACAGTTGGGATTGATGTGATTTTGGCTTTAAAAGCGGTTAATTAACTTTCTTTCCTTTTTTTATTATTTAATTTTAAATTTTACTAATTTGTTTAGTTATTAAAAACTTGAATGTAAATTAAAATAAATATAATATATAATAACAAAAATATAAATATTTAATATTTTAATAAATTACATATAAATTTTATTTTTAACGAAATCATACCACTATAATATTTTATACCAATTAAATACAAAATAACCGAATACAAAAGTTGAAATGATTTTGTTGTAATTTCTCTTTACCTGACCTGGTTACAAGGCTGGTTGGTAATGATTGAGCCAGATTCGGTTTTCTCCCTTCTTTTCCAACATAAAAGTGCCACTTGTATTCACAAGTTTCTTTTTCTTTAAACGAAGGATCCATAGTTTTAAAGTTCGGATAAATGTAGAAATTCGCTCCTTTCTTTTTGCAAATTAGGCCCCCATTATTTTCTTTTTCCCTTCTAAAAATGTAAAAAAAAATGTCAAACTTAATAAGCATTAGGATTAGAGATATCAATTTCAATCAAAATCGATGAAAAGTTATGATCTCCCACCTCAACTCGGGCGACTTCAGGGATACTGACATTTTAAGAATGAGAAAGAAGGTGGGAATGGGACTTGGGGAGCATAGCCCCGTTCCCCCCGTTCTTGATATAAATATAATTTTATTTGAATTATTTTTTATTTAATTTTGCAATTTGAATATTTGACTTGTTATATTTAAATGTAATTTTTTAATTAGTTTATAATTATTATTGTCAAACTTTTATAAGATAGTTTAAAAAAATATAAATTTTTATTTTTAAAAATAATTAAAATAATGAGATTCTTTGTAATATCCTAATTCGAACAAGGATGGGGCGAAAATCCTCCTTGAGTTTGTCCGGTTGACATCCTTGATGAAAATGATGCATCTTTGCATTCTTTTAAAAATATAATTTTAAATATATTTTAATATAGAAGCACAATGATTCCATTTGCATTCAAAAATATTTAAATGTATTTATGAGATTTTCTTCGCTAGAATTTAGATGAAATTTAGAAAATGGTATGGTGCAGTCATAATAGTCCATACTGCAACCTTGAAGATAAATACGCCTTTTATTATTTTTTTTTTTCTTTCTTATCTTCTTTGATTTTAAAATTTTAATGCAAAAAAAAACTGATTAAAGTAATAAAAAAAAGTAATAGGTATTTGAAAATGAAAAAAAAATCAATTATATCTAAAAAAGTAAATAAGAAAATTATGGGATTGAAAGCAAAAAGTTAAAATATTAACAAAGCTTTTTGAATTATTTTTATTTTTTAATTAAGTTTTATAATTTTTATTCTTTGATTTATTTTAAATAAATTTTTATTTTTAAATAAAAAATAGTTTATATTAAAAATTAATTTAAATATATATTAAAAATTAAAAAAATATTTAAATATAATAAAATATATAAATTTATATAAATAAAATAATAAAATTGATGAAATTTTTTATTATTTTAGATGGTGAAGCAGACAACGGGGAACAAGAAGCTCTAGGGCGGACTGGATAGCGGAAACTCACCGATACACAGCAATGATATTTAATCTAATAATAGGAAAAAGGGGGGCCCAAGTTATTAAGAAGGATTGATTATACCCATCATAGGACCCGAGAAGGCACTGTTGGTGATCATTACTGTTCTGTATACGCTCCTCCATTTTTAGACACAAGTAACATTGGCATTTCCTCATCAGAGTAATACTAAACTACCAATGGACCCAAGTTCAAGGTCACACCAAGTTTTATTCAGGATTGAGCCTATCCCATAAGAGTTTTTGAACTTTGTTCACCATGAATTAGCCTTTAATCTCAAAATCTCAGATTTGAAGTCCATTTGAGTCCTTTAAGTTGAAAGTATTTGATCATCTTAATCTTATTGTTCAAATTCCGCAGCATATGGATTTTATTGTAGTTGTCTACCACAACAATGTACTACTTTTTTTTCTTTATGGTCTTTGCAAATACAGGGTTTTTTCAACCCGGTCTTTTAAGGCCGAATTACCTTCGACCTGCCACACCTTGAACCTTTTGGAAATAAACAACTTCATTCACTCTAAAACTACAACCTGTTGAGTTTCAGCCCATGAACCTTACTTCACATTAGAAATTTATCTCCAAAACATAGCATGCCCAAATTGCACAATCACAAGGTTAATAGTCTCGAGTCCCAACACTTGTCGGTCCAAATAAAAAAAACTTGATTTTTTTAAAATAGAATTTCGATTTTGAATCTTATAAATGAAAAAAATAAATTTGAAAAAACTTATTTTTTTTATGAAATTTGATTCGATTCAACTTCAAATTAATCAAAATCCAAAGTAATTACCAAACACCAAAAAATTTCAAACAAAACATTAATCTCAAGTCCCAAAATGAGCGCAAAAATCATTTTCCAACACATTGATACTGTATCTTAGATTACAAGAGAAGACTTGCCTCCCAAATACAGGTAGAAATGCCATGCAATGCAAGCGCTTCAACTGTTGTGCTATTAAGTTTACAGATCCCATAAAAAAAAAAAAATTCCATAAAAACAGAAGAACCCAAAAAACAAATAAAGAGAAAAAGAGTTAAAGAACATTTCTGCTCAGACTCAGATATTAAAAAAAAAAGTCCTCTAAATGCTTTGAAATTGCCATAATTGGATGGTCCACATGCTTAATCTAGCAAAACATTGACCCAGTTGGCCAGCTCAATGAATTCTATACCTTGAAACTGTCCCTAGAAGAACAGATTAATACTATATCTGTCCTTCAAAGATAAAAGAAATGCAGTCATCAATTGACTCAAAATTATAAATAAATCACTATAAAGTACAAAGCCAATAAGCCTTGCTAAATATAGCTGGACAAAGATATAGATTTCAATGTTGAATCGAATTATGTAGCTCGGTACAGATTCATAAACTCGTCACAAAAGGAAAAAGTAGATATCTTTGGAAATTATGATAAGACTGGTAACTCTTTTTGGCTCTTAAGGGGCAAGAATATAGCTCGACTGTAACTCACAACATATCACAAGGAATAGAAGGAACTCAGAACTCGTGAATGATCAAAATGTAAAATCATATATACAAAGAATCATAAAGAATATATGAATGTACATGAGACTTTTCAGCTTACTTTCAATGGAACTGACACTGTGACGGGTTATCAGAAACCCCAACAATGATATTTGGAGTGATATTAAACCCTAATACTTGTATATGACTATGATCTAAAGTGTAATACCAGTATAACCAGACTACGATTGCATGGGAAGGTCACCATAATCTGTCATGTGCTTCAATGATGGAAACTTTCTCCTGCAAAAAATGAGTAAATAAAATGATATAAACAAACTAGTAAACAATATAATTCAAGATGCTTTTCCTGAACTTTATATACAAAGCTTGCACAATTTAACAAAAAATAATCTAAAAGGAAAAGCAAACCAACCCCACCCCACACCCACCCCCCAAACAAGAAGAAAAAGAAAATGACAATGGGCAATATTTAACTTTGGTTACTGTCGTAACTGCTCAGGTTTCAACATTTGAGAATGTTTAAAAAATGATTGTCATGCCATGTTGTTTCCAGTAAATACCAAAGCTTTCACTCGTGCAATTATGCAATTGTGATTTAAAGCTGAAAATTAAAAGGAATTCCTACATTAAGTCTACTTTAGCTAGCATGTATCACATACGGTTCTCTTAAAATGGGTCTTCGCCCGAAGAGTAGCATGGAAACTTTGGTAGACAAAGATTTGATGGATGTAGCGATATCACTATAGATGTTAAAAGACAAATATCCATATTCAGGTTCAAATTTGTTTTGATGGAAGTCTATAGGCAAAGGGAGGAGGTTGGTAATTTAGAGGTAGTTAATGATGACCCATCCTTGTATATAAAGCTTTGTGTGTGCACATGTGAGAATAATGTATAATAATTATACATGGAGATGGAGAAGAGAGAGAGACCTCATCTTGTGAGCTGCTCTCTGAGGGAAACCATTGTAAAAGAACACCCAAGTTCATTACATTAGGTATCAATTTGAACAAAAGAGGAGTTGTTACCTGCAGAATCATAATTTGCTATCAATAATGTTGCAGGCTTGGAGCCGAGAAAGGGGCTAAAGAAATACTATAAAGCTTCAAAGTGTAGTTTTCAGATCAGAAAACCTACCAGACTAAGAGCTGTTGTTCCAAGAAGAAGAAGATACATCTTTCCCTTCAACATCAGCCAAAATCAAGTCAATAATTGCAACAAAACAATTGCAATGATGATGAAGTTAAGACATGCTCAAGCAAATTAAAAATATAAGTTACTAGAAAGTGTCAGAAAATCAAGCTCTGTATAGGCAAAAATGGAAGCAACAAAGGAAATATGTTAATGCTATGAGATTTAATAGCAAAAAAGCACTAGTATAAATGGAATTTGTTGCTGAACTATTTCTTTTTTTTTTTTGTTTATACAAATTGCTGGTATTTCATGCATTATTGGAGCAGCACAAAAAGCTATCGTTCTTGTTCTCTGAGTAGAACACCCCCCCCCCCTCCCGGCACACCCACTTAACAAGTAAATAATTCAAAAACACACTTGAAACTCCATTTACATAGAGGCATATTACATCTTCATTCAGTCACTGCCCCTTACTACTTCAAATTCAAGAAGATGGCAATTCTAACTTCAAGGCCCCCAAGCATGGTAATAAAAGCAGTGGACAATAACTCCACGCGCTTGCTTGTTGTTTTCAACTCACACCAGACTAGATCTTTAGCAACTAACCGCATTCAGAGTTAAAATTACATATTTTGAAAGCAAAGATTCTCAAATGATTTTTGCATATAATGTGACATTTATTCTTACCTCAATCACGGAATACGATTTAAACATTGGTCTATATAATGATTCTAATAGTTGGCAAGTAAACCAGTTAAATTTCATGCAATTTAATTTTGCAACAGAAACTAATTTGAACATTTTGGTGAGAAATTAGGAGTTGATATATTCAGACCTTCCCTGCACCCAACTGTATTTTACTTTTGTTAACCAAAATATCATCCTGCCACTGAAGATCAATATGTACATTTGTGCATTCATCACCTAAGCAATTTATGCATATAAAATGTCACCCCTTTTTAGAATTATGAAACATTATCTCTAAAACCACTATAAGGGCATGACATAATAAGAAGAATAATCCAAGAATAAGTAAGGAGATCAATCATCAAGAAACAAGAAAAAAACTTTATTGTAGACATGCAAAGACACAAACACGCAGATTTTTACAAGGCAAGAAAGAGAGAGGTACCTCAACAAGGTGAAGATTTGAGGCACGACTTAGAAGAACAAAAGCGAATTCTCCAATTTGAGCAAGCAACACTCCGACCTATATCATAGATGTACAAATTGCAAATGATGCACAAATTAAGTAATGAAAACAATATTTCTTTGTGCATAGCAGTGACTAAACAAACTTACATGGAAAGACGTTCTGACACTATACCCGAAAGCCTTTGTGACCACAGCAGCAACAGCAGTCTTAACAACAATAACTAGAATAACAGCTGCCAATAATATATCCACATGGTTCCACAGAAACTGTACATGTATGAGCATCCCAATACCAGAAAGGAAGAGAGCTGCAAATAGATTTCGAATTGGTTCAACCTACAAATTGCAAAAAGCACCATATCCAGGAAAACAAAGGATTAATTTCATCATCATATTATAATAGAAACGTGACTCACCAAAGAATCTTGCATAAAACTAAGAAATGCAGCCACTTAGCCTATTTCAGATTCAATCCCTATAACATGCTACACACTTTATCCAATGACTATAAACATATGAACCACTAGCATAAATTTACAGATGAATGAAATATGAACCCTTGACTCAAAATACAATAGACCATTTGTGTTTATAGATATTCATTCATGCCCCTATGGACTAAAAATGCATGACCTAAAACATACTAAATAAGAAAAGTAAACAAGTTAATTAAAACTTTTAAGACTAATTGAAAAGTTAAATAGCATAAAATCCTTTTAGACAAAGCTAAAAATATAAGATTAATGATATAGATAAGGGCCCTGACAACAAACAGTGATTACCTGATCTAAAGTATGCTGTGCAAAGTCAGTAGTAGATATCATAACTCCAGCAACAAATGAACCCAACTCAAGGCTGAGACCCAGCTTATCACTGCACTGTGAAGATTACAGAAGTTCAAGAGCGTTAAAAAGGTGATGGAGAAATTTTACATGCAGTGATACAGGAGTTGTAATCATGGTAAGCAGAACACTTACCCACGCAGATAATAAGCAGAAGGCCACAGCAGCAAGCTGATAAAGTTCATTTGTCTGGATAATAAAATGAACCAAAATGAACTAATATTTTTAAATTTATTAAATAAGTTACAGAGAGTAAGAGATAAAATATGTTAAACAACTTACTTGAGATGATATCTGCATCATTAACTTTAGGAAGCGAGGAACAAACGACCAAGACAATACAGATGCAACAGTGAGATATATTGATAATACCAGCATCCTGACATTGATCATCATCAAGTGTCAGATTCCAAATCTTCCCTTTACGTAAAGTCAACTACCAACAATAGATCAAAAGCTACTTTTGGGAAGAAGGGGTAGAAAAGGAAGGATCGCAATAAGGAAAACAGGATAGGTGGAAGAACCTAAAGAAACTTACAACTTTCCCATTGAAATCATTCCTTGTAGTAGGCCACTGCTACCACCCAAAACTGGGAGCAAAGCAAATAACAAACCAACAGCGCAATCCTGAAATGACCAAAGGCAAGGGAATGAATGGAGATGCAGCAACAAAATCAAGTTTCTGAATCCAAAATGTAATTAAATTGTTGGTAGGCCATCACTTCTCTTCAACCTGAAAAATTAGAGTCCCAATAGCAACTTGACCATGAAGAGCATTAGTGCTATTCTGTTCTACTAAAAACTTCACAACCTGATAAATATAAGGAAAGAATGGATGACTATTAGATGCATCGAGTAGCAACCAAGAATAAAAGAAAATTACTAGCACTGCAAAATAGTATAGAAAAGTACAACTGCAGTTGACGACATTGAGAGGAAGGAGCCAACAAAGACACCCTCAGATAATTTTGCTTCACATAACTGCAAGATTGACATATGTCTAAATTTAGTGTCCATCTTACAGGTGTTGCTAATTGGAAACATAGCCAAAGTACTTGAAACACCGTACCACTGCAATTATGCCACACAAGCACATAAATATTGCAATTTGAAGTAGTCCTCCAAAAACAGCAACTGGGCCCACAACTTTTAACTGCAGCAATAATTAGTTGAAACAGCTTTCTTAGTATAAGATACAGAAATTTCTAAGCAAGCTAAAGCATGGTAAATAAGAACTCACTAATGCCGAAAACATCCTACCTTTGCCAAAGAAAACTCTAGCCCAAGAGCAAAAAGAAGAAAGACAACACCAAACTGTGCAACAGTTTCAACCTATGAAAGGAGAAAGAATATATCACCAAAATAATAACAATATGGAAAATTATATCATTGATCACAATCTGCAAAAATGCATCAAAGAATGAATTTTCAGATGATATAATTTAGGCATTATTAGATGATATAAAAAAATGATGTTCCAAGAAATTATCTTTAACAGATGCTCATAAAGCATGTTTCTCCTCCATGATACTATCAGTGAGGCTATCTCAATGGTAGAAAATAGTGTATACTCAAACATTAGAGGAATATAATATTCTGATTTTAAAAAACACAAGCTCAAGCCATTGCTAATGACATACCTGTACCATTTCGCTAATAAATTTCAAACCCCCTGGTCCTATAAGTGAACCCGCAAGAAGATAGCCCACAATAACCTATCGTGCATATACATTTAGGAAAAGTAAAAAAAAATTCAACTTCTGTGATATAGCTGCATATCAAAATCAAGATAAAGCAAATGAAAATTCAATGCAAAGTGAAATAAATACTAATTGTAGAGATGCAAACCGGTTGCCCCAGACATGAAAAGATAATACCACCAATGGCAGCAGAGACTATGACAACAACCAAATCTGATATCAATCTGCACAAGGGTGAGAAAATATTACAGCTTTTTTTATTTGACAAGAATTTGACACACCCATTATGAGGTGTAGAAAACAAATGAGTGTTTTGAAAAAAAAAATGCAAAAAAAGTGTGGGTATTTTTTTTCAAGTGGGTTTTTTTAACTGAATAGACATATGTATCTTTAATTTAAAATTTTTTATAAATAATTTATTTTTCAAGTCATCCACCTGAGTTGGTGTCACTTGACTCATGACACCAAACTCAGCCAGTGATTTTATAAATAAATTTCAAGTTGTATATTATATATAAAATCAAAACTCAATGGCAGTACCAAAACCAAACCAAGCATAGTTTTCAATTATTATCCTTCACAATGCCACCAACTTGTAGTAATATGAAACCAATGATTGGATTAGGATAATGTGAGGATAAAGGAGATTGAGAAGCTAACCTCAAATCAACTTGGAGTACTGGATACTTGGATTTTTTGTTCGACATTACAAACACATTATCCTAAAATCAAATGTGAAAGGAAAATTAGAAAGGATTAAATAAAAACAAAACAACCTGCATAAAACTGGGTTATAAATCCTCCTATACACATGAGAGGAAAAAAAACAAACATATGGCCACCTTTTTGTCAATTAAGGTTGTTGTCTCATCTGAATCTTCATTTTCAAGGGTAAAAACATCCTTAATCTGGAATGATCTTGTGCCGCTATTGAAAATTTTAATATTTGGAAAAATTGTCAAGTCATAAAATATATATATTATCTGATTCAGTAAAATGTTTATAACTCCTAAAAGAATGCATTCCCATACTTTGCCACTTGAGTATCATTTCTCTTCGCCTTCTCATGGGTGATTTTAGCTACTGTTTCCAGTACAGCCTGAAAACATAACAGGGAGCAACTTTAAGACGGACAACAAAAACAAACAACTACACAGAAAGCACATGGGTTACTTAGGACAAAGGCAATAAAGGGCATATTCTGCTTCTAACATGCATGATATCCAAACCCAATCTTTCCTCAATAATCATAGAAACCTCAATCACTGGCCATTACATTAACCAATATTTGGGGATTACGATCAAAGCACACACATAGCCACGATCCCTCACAAGATTGTATTAGGTATTCCTTTAAATTTGGAGGCCTACTAAAGTTTGAAAAAAGATTTGAAGTGAACAAATGTAGCAGACATATATATTTCAGCTCTAGCCAAAATTAAAAAGAGAAATAGAGTGGAGGTAACAGTATATGCATAGAAGACTGAAACTACAGAGGAAACATTACTGTCCAGTTTCCTTAGTATCAAAACAATGAAAAAGGATTTCACTGTGGAGCAATGGGTTTCAAAGGATAACCAAACCTACTTGCTGATCAGCTACACTAGTATTGAAACTGCTTGCATCAGATCCTAACAACAAAAGAAAAAAAAGCAAATAGAATATCAGTTAGATAGCCTTTAAAGAACCAAAAAAGCGTTCAGAATTAACCGCAATTCTAACATCAAACAGAGAACTACATGATCATAGAAGATACATGTAAAATATGAAATGGAGACTCTAATTTGCTTAATTTCGAGTTCAAAACAATACAAGTCAAAGTTACAAAAATCATTATAGAAATGAGACTGTATGGCGATTTTTTGCAGATTTTATTTACCAAACATTTTTTTCATCCTTGTCCACATAATTAAATTAAAACAAAATAAAACAAACAAGTATTATTGCTTTGTTTTTTTCTTCGTCAGTGTCCTTTTATGAAACTTTATTTGAACTTCTGATAGAATAGGTGAGCGCTTTTACTGACAGTTTAAACTTCAAATTAAGCCTGCATTTTTTTGGAGAAACAACAAGACCTACCAGCATAAAGATCAAGATCCAACAGTTAGTTATTTTTTCCGTGAGTTTGTCTCGGCATATTAAAGGTTTCAAACATTTAAAAGAATTATTATAACAGAAAAGGGAATTAAAAAGGCTAACCTTCAGGCTGATCATTTTCGGAGAACTCTTTCTCAAGAACACGATCGAACATTTTGGCAATACTCCCCTCTCCAGTACCTGTCGATGACGAATTCACAAGGTTACCATAAAACCTTTCCCGGATTTCATTATCAGATCTCGCGGATACACATATCCTGGCGTATAACAGTATCAGCACCAAATAACAAACGCATCCAAACACTCCACGTCTCGCGGAGAAAATCGCCATCAATTCCGTAAATCCCTCTCTCTCTCTCTCTCTCTCTCTCTCTCTCTCTCTCTCTCTCTCTCCCCCTTTTTCTTCTCCTGCGTTTCAAGTTTTAGAAACAAATTTTGCAGAGAAGAAAAAAAAAAACAATGGAGGGAATGTGTAAGAGAAAGCGGGTTAATTTGAAATCGGGATCGAAGAGAGGGAGCTTTATCCGTTTTTTGACGTAGCTGGGCTCGTTAATTACGATTTAACTGTCCCTGCGGGGATCGTATGTGTGACGATGCCGGGTCGCTTGATATTTGATATTAAAGAAAATGTTTTTTCTAAAACAAAATCATCAAAGAAAATGCTTATAATATATTGTAGGGGGAGTAAGATGGAAAGATCTTTTCTTACCATTTCAAAAGTTGAAAAGTTTTTGGTTAAAGTCAATTTATAATTTTATGATTGATGCATACGTTTCCATTGTTAGATTTTGACTTTTATGTCACAGGCTTAATTCAATTAATATAATAGTTTGAATTATTCAAGTTCTTGATTATATATTTATTTTTTCTTTTTATGAACAATGAAGTTGCCTGTGAGCTTCTAGAAAGGGAAGCACTTCTGTTCTAGAAAAATGTTAATAAGAGACTTCTTAATAATATTCATATTTGGGCCTTTTACGAAATGATTGCTTTAGGTTAATATATAATTTTTTAGTTTTTTTTTTTTTCATCCAAATTTTTTAAATTAATTTTTTTTAAAAAATTTTTAATTTATTTTTGAATTTTTTATCTTAATATTTACTTTAATTAAAAAAAAATATTGCACGTATAAATACTTTTAAACTCAATAATTTTGAATGTCAATTTTAATAACATATTAATTTATTTAAAATTTGATATAAAAAGTAAATTATTTATCACACATTATGTGTGATTGCAAAAAACACTTTCAAAACAGTAATATTTATGGGTTAAAATGATAAAATTATTTATATCCAACGAATTTTTATTTTTTTATTTAATAAAATTAATTATTTAAAAAAATTGAAGGACAAATCAAATCAAGACTTTTTTTTAAAAGGTTGGATTCGGATTGAGTCCAATTTTAGATGACATCACCCCTGACCCTAATGTATAGAAAAAATATTTTTTATTATTAATTTAATTTTATAATTATATATTTATATTATATTAAAAATTATTATTTAATATTTTAATTTAAAATGTTAACTTAATAAAAATATTATATTTACATATAATTTATACTAAAATAATATTTTATAAATATTATATTAAATTAAATTTATTAAATTAATTTCAAACCAAATCAATTTAATTTATGAATGTACAAATTAAATCAGGTATAAAATAATATTTTAATATTAAATTAAATCCAAATATAAATATTAAAAATTTAAATCCAAGAAAATTAATATCCGTTATTAGGAATGTAAATGATACATTAGTACTCGCAAGCTACTTGGATTCAATTCAAAGAAAACTCGAATTCGGTTAGATCATTATCGAGTCGAGCTCGAGCTGGAGTAGTTCGATTTATCGATTAAGTCGAATTCGAATATTCTTATATTCGACTCGAGTAGCTCGCGAGCCTAATCGAACTTTTATATTTAAATATATTTTTATTATTTTAATTAATAAAATATTTCGAATCCGAATTCGAGTTCGAGTATGAATAATCAAACTCTTGTCGAGTATACGAATCGAGCTTATTTTTACATATTAATCAAACTTAATCGAACGAGCTTGAGTAACTCAAATTCGATCACAAATCGAGTTCGAACTTAAAAAATAAAATTCGATCGAGTTCGAATCGAATATCGAATCTCGAATTGTGAGTCAAGCTCAAATTCAAACTCGAACTTCTCACTGTTTAACTTAACTCGATTTGATTACACATCTGATCGTAACCATCCTTGCGGGGTCCACGTGCCTCCGTCTCTGCTTGACTAGTTGCCTGAGCTTTTCTTTACAACACGATGTAAAACCTCCTACCTGCAAATGGAGCGCTACTTTAAGCCGATGGACTTGTACTATTTGAAGGAAAAAAAAAAAAAAAGTAAGTATAACTCTCTTTAAAATATGTAAGATCAGCGTAATGTGACTATTTGTCACATAAATTATGAACAGTAAACCTCGCTTATAATAAATTTGTTTCTACTATTTTCAACCAAACCAACAGTTCATTACTTGAGTAAATAATTTACTCAAAAGTTATTTTACATTATCGACAGAAGAATTTGTTTCTATTGGTTGACAAAAAATGAACTACGCACATTGATATCGTTATCATAAAAATAACTAAAATCAAAATTGGATTTGAAATATTGGAAAAGAGTTTGGTATATTTTTCTCCACCAAAGGATTGTTTCACGACAGCTTTTGCCTTAAATTAAGGGTTAATTTACTGTTATTGTTGCTGTCAAAAAAAAAAAGTTTGACTTAAAAAGAATATGTTTAAAAAGTATGATAAAAAAAATAAGATTAAAAATTTTAACTGTTTAACATTATTGTAAAAAATATTATAAGTAATTAAAATATCTAAAAAATGTATAAAATGATAAAATATTAAATGTATAAAATAATATAATATTTTTCTATTTCAAAAATACAGTTTCATCGTAAAAATATTTTTAAATAAATTTTTTATTTAAGTTGTAAAATCAAATTTTAAATTAAAAAGTATATTTTTATTATTTAAATTAAAATTTAATAAAATAATTTTTAAACGTAAAAGTTATTTTCAACGATACTAAACTAAATCTAAATTGATTTTCCGACAGGATATTCTTCCCAATGTTCTGTTTTTTATAGGCACAGCGCACAGCATGTCAACTGTGGTTGGTGTGTTACATCATTAGGCGGGCAGAGGGGGCCATTAGCCAATAGCAATAGCTTAGTATTAGTCCACCAGCACTGTGCACAAATGCTGAATTTGCAAAATGTAGATTAGAAGGCAGCTTTGACTAGCATTTGCGAGGACTAGGAAAATCGGTTATTATGAGATTAAAAATAACGGCAAAATAAAATTAATTATTATAAAGAGGAGATTAATTATTGTTATAATAAGATTAAAATTAATAATGAGATATAAATTTAGATATAAAAATAGTAATATCAGTAAGGTAAAATATAGTAAATATAAAAACTAATTATTAAGGATATTTGAATAAAATTGGTAGATAATAAATCTTATAGTATATTGGATATTTACAAATTTAATAAATAATTAAAAATTAATAAAATTATTTGTTACCAATTTATAATTTTGTTAAAAATAAATAAATAATATATATATTAAATTTAACAACATAATATTTTGAAAAAAAAAAATTAATATACTTATACATTTTAAAATAAAATTAATTAATATTTACTTACTTTATTATTTATATAGTTATTTATTTTATTTTTCATTCATTACTTTATTTAATTATAAAATTGATTATTTATTTATGTATTTAGTATTTTAGCAAATTAAATATTAATTAATTTATTAAATAGTTTTATAAATGATATGTTAAATAATTAAAATAAACTAATTTGAAATTTTTAAATAAAAAGAAAAATAAAAAAAGACAACTAAATAAATAACAACAAATGTCAAATCAATCTATAATTGAAGTCTAAGTGCATATGTATTGGTACATGCATTATTAATTCAAAGGCAAAAAAAAAAAAAAAAGTTGGGCAATATGGGAAATGAGAGGTGTGATACGATAGAAACTTTATACTAGATGAGGATAAACTAGTGGGAAATTGAGACTTCGATGTAGTTGAAAACTATTTTATGGCATTGGATTGGTGTGCCAAATAAGATTTCAATTCAGTTTAGAATTCCAACCGCACCCCACTGATGCTGCAATTGGATCCAAATAAACATAAAAGGAAAGGGACAATTGCCCCAACAATCACTTTTCGACACTTGCATTTATTAAACTTAAAACCTTTTACACAATGTTTAGGTAAAATTTATCCTCTTCTTATTTGTGAAGTATTTCGTATATGATTTTTTTATTATAACCTTAAGATTATTTGATTATATCAAAAAACTATGTAGAGATTTACATTTATAAATATGAGCTTTATATAAAATTTTGATAAACTCCACATAATTCAAAATTATGATTAATTTATTATACTATATAGATGATACACTCTACTTATTTAATACAAACAATAGAGGTACTCTTAAACTTACTGTCTAATACTTTCATTCTTGAGGAATGCTAACGAATATTGACATATCAACAATCATTCAAGACTCGAGCATATAAAAGGTCTACATCACCTAAGTTTTTTTAGAAACTTGTCGCCTCACTTTTGCCAATGAGTGGCATTAATGGATTGTGAAGATTGGACTTGTACATGAAGTGGTTGGGATGTTGGGTTTGAGGGTCTAGCAATAATGGTGTGGACCAACAATAAGGTTAAGGTCACATTTGGAGATAAAACTCTCATTAGGTTTTGATAATATTCTAACGATTGTGCAATCTATGCATTTAATGACAGTGGATTACTGAAGAATGGAAAAATTAGGTCATACCTTAGATTCCATGAAAGAAGGTTTGGTGATAGGATCTGTAGGGGATTGGTAGCATGGCTACTACATTAAAGATAGTTGCGGGTTGAATGGTTGCACTTATGGTTGGTGTTGCTCTTTTAGAAGAGTGAAGGTGAGACATGACTATCATTCCTATATATTGCATCAATTGTTGATGGTGTTGCAGAGCATATAAGAGTGAGAAGTCTAATTTCTTTATCTGAAGTGCATTCACATTGGAAGAAGTTGGAATTAATTAAGAGCCAAGATAATGAAATATATGAGGAGTTGACCATCCAATCATAAGTAGACCGAAAATATTTCAATGAATGCGATGAGTTCAGTAAGTTTGCCATGAAAAAAAACTATGAAAACTTAGTAATCTGTCCACAACTACCTTGATGCCATCATCAGAGATGGTTAAGCCAAAAAGTCACAGAGTTATAAAAGCATAAACCTCTACATGATGTGACCCATCACATTATAAAATTATGTTATCAGCTCAAAATAGTATATTACCAATAACCATTACAAACTCAGTGAAATTGATGGCACAAATCGTTAAACTTCCTATTCACTAGCCCTATAGTAAACAAAAAATGTTATATCTGGATAGTTTGCCAATTGAATTACATTCATATACAAAGTATCATTGATGTTGAGATGGATGGACATTACAGTTTTAGTTTTATTACTGGGTTACTTAGATTGAGATTAGATA